GGTTGCACAGAAGCTGGAGTTAATTAAGAAACTTGATAAAGGATATTCTCATGCACGAGCAGCAGCAGAGTTTAACATCGGGAAAAGTACAGTAAGTGACATCAAGAAACAGAAGGATACTCTATTAAAATATGTGAGCACAACAGAGTGTGCTACTTCTGGTGCTGCATGTTCGAGAAAAACAGTAAAGTCTGGTCAGTATCCACAATTGGATGCTGCAGTGTATAAGTGGTTTATTCAGCACCGCACAATTGGCATGGCAATAAGATTTGAAGAGCTTAAAGTTGCAGCAAGTAAACTTGCCATTCAATTAGGTATAAAAGATTTCAGTGCAAGTGATGGGTGGGTTGGAAGATTTAAGGCTCGGCATAACATTTCAAACACCAAAAAAATTTCTGGTGAGGCGTCAAGTGCTGATCCCACTAATGTTGATTCATTCAAGGCTAAATTAAACGAGTACATTGTCAGTAATAATTTAAGGAAATATCAAGTATATAATGCTGATGAGACTGGGTTTATGTGGCGAGCTGTACCAAGTACATCCTTAACCAGTAGGATGCAGGAAAATATTCCTGGACGAAAGATAAGCAAGGAACGGCTCTCAGTCTTGCTTTGTGCTAATGCTGATGCCTCTCACAGGACAAAATGTGCCGTGGTAGGCAAGTCTAAAAATCCTCGAGCCTTAAAAAATATAATGCAGGCATTACCTGTAATATATTACAATTCTAAGAAATCATGGTTTAATCAAATAATATTTACGGACTGGTTTGAAAACCACTTTTGCAAAGAAGTCAGAGAATTCCAGATCAACAAATGTGGAATAAAGGCCAGTGAGGTTAAGGCATTGTTGCTGCTAGATAATGCTCCTGCTCATCCCATTAGCAAGTTAATTTCAAGGGATGGCAGAATAAAATGCATGGCACTTCCACCAAACACAACATCCTTGATCCAGCCCATGGACCAAGGTGTTATCCTTGCTGCTAAACGTATGTACCAAACAGCAATGCTTGAAGATGTTTTAGTTGTTTTACCTAGCGAGGAAGATGAATTGACAGGAAAGGATACAAGGGCTCAAAGAACACTAGAAAATCTAAAAAAGTACACAATCAGGGAAGCAATATTCCACTGGGCTAGGCTTTGGAATAAAGTGAAAGAAACCACACTAACAAATTCATGGAAGAAACTGTTAACAGAGAGGCCTAGATGTGAAGCAGCAGTATCTGATAGTGAATTCGAAGGTTTTGAAAATGAAGCCAATGATTTTGAAGGGTTTGAAGAAACGATCCGAACAATGTTGCTCCAAGCTGGTCAGGGTGTACAAGTGAATGATATCAATGAATGGTTAGAAAATGATTACGATCCTGGTTATGAATTGTTAACTGAAGAACAGATTGCGCAAAGTGTTCTCGGAAATGACTCTGATGACTCTGATGACTCTGATGATGACTCGGACGATGTTGGTGAGGCTCTGCCTAGAGGTGTCGGATATCAGAAAAGATTGGAACAAGTTGAGGAACTCATTGAATATTCAATAAAAAGTAAACATGAGGTTATTGGAAATTTTTATGTACACCTTACAGCCTTAAAGCAATGTCTCAAAACGTTAGCCAGAGAAAATCAGATTCAGACAAAAATAGATAAATTCATGATTTCAACGGTTCGTGAAAAATCTTCGTCGACAAGCGATGCTGCACCCGTCGATGCTGAATTACCATCGACAAGTCGTGGAGCATCCGCCAGCAATGAATGCTCTACAAGCCATGCTGCACCCGCCGATGCTGAATTCCCATCGACAAGTCGTGGAACATCCGCCAGCAACGAATGCTCTACAAGCCATGTTGCACCCGCCGATGCTGAATTCCCACCAAGTCGTGACAAGTCATCCACTAACGATATAAAATATGATTGAAAGGCATATAAATTAGTGTAAAAAGTATTGATAGAGTACAGTATTGTAAGTGTTAATGATTAATTAAGCCTAGACAAAAAGATACTGTACAGTGTAAATATACAGTAGAAATAATTGTCAATAGTGAAGTAGAATTAGAACTCATGTGAATTAGTAGTAAGGCTAGCTGTTGTGTGAAGTGAGTGCCTGAAAATAATTGTACATATAAAACAAGCGCTGCAGAGGATGACGTAATCATCACAGCTTCGTAATCTTCAGCTTCATTAAAAGTAAGTCAATTTACCAATTTTATTATAGTATTACAAGATATTAATTTTTTTTTTTCAACAAAAGCTACATATTAGTCTCTGCAAATGTATATTCTATCGTCAGCAGAGAAAAGGTGAGCTCAAAATATTTCGTCTTGGCTAGCTCTCAGTGACAAGGCTCGATCGCCATTGTTATGGCATGGCCGCCACAGCCTGTGTTGTAACATTAAAAGTCAGTCAATTTACCAATTTTATTATAGTATTACAAGATATTAGTTGTTTTTTTTCAACAAAAGCTACATATTAGTCTCTGCAAATGTATATTCTATCATCAGCAGAGAAAAGGTGAGCTCAAAATATTTCGTCTTGGCTAGCTCTCAGTGACAAGGCTCGATCGCCATTGTTATGGCATGGCCGCCACAGCCTGTGTCGTAACATTAAAAATACATTACCTGCACTGTTCAGGGTAAATCAAAACACATCTCTAAAATTTTATTAAGACAATATTAACTCGCTGATTGATACATGAAATATTTTTCAATACAAAGGAATGAATCAATTTTTTCCCACCCATCTGGACTTGATCAGAGCGTGTTTACACATCATCCATGCAGCAGCCAGCAACTGGCTTAATCGTCGGCCGTGCACTAAATTGGAATGCAATTACACAATGAACTTTATTTAATTTTAGTTATACAGTGTAAAATATATCCTACCTGAATGTTACTTGAAAAATTACCCGACCCGACTTAACGTCGGAAATAACGGAGCTCCGTAAATAACGACTTGGGCTCAGCCCCATATAGGCTGTTAAATTGAGTGGATACTGTATAACAGAAACAATGGGTATTGAATAGAAGTGTTTGTAGAAAGCCTATTGGTCCATATTTCTTGATGCTTCTATATTGGAGCGGAGTCTTGAGGTGGGTAGAATATAGTTGTGCAATAATTGGCTGTTGATTGCTGGTGTTGACTTCTTGATGTGTAGTGCCTCGCAAACGTCAAGCCGCCTGCTATCGCTGTATCTATCGATGATTTCTGTGTTGTTTACTAGGATTTCTCTGGCGATGGTCCATCGCCAGAGAAATCCTAGTAAACAACACAGAAATCATCGATAGATACAACGATAGCAGGCGGCTTGACGTTTGCGAGGCACTACACATCAAGAAGTCAACACCAGCAATCAACAGCCAATTATTGCACAACTATATTCTACCCACCTCAAGACTCCGCTCCAATATAGAAGCATCAAGAAATATGGACCAATAGGCTTTCTACAAACACTTCTATTCAATACCCATTGTTTCTGTTCTGTCTTGTGTTGATACTTTTAATACCCTAGAAAATTCGTGTTAGAATTATTAATCTTACTTTTTCGGTCATATATATATATATATATATACATATACTATATATATATATATATATATATATATATATATATATATATATATATATATATATATAATATAATACAATATATAATATATATTATATATATATAATATACAATATATATATATATATATATATATATATTGTATTTGTGTGTGTGTGTGTGTGTGTGTGTATTTATATTTTATTTTCATCCCAAAATATGGTTAGGTTTAGAGTTGTTCATAATGTATGCCCTGGGTATGTGCCAGGGCATACATCATATCAAACTGAGCAAGATGCAAGTACAAAATGGCCAGCACTCTACACAACTGAGCAATTAAGAATCACGTTAATCCCTATATTGAGTTGTCGTCGCTAACAACACTGGGAGGAATACATTAGGTTTTAGCTCATACTAGATCAAAGAACCTCTCCTCTGAATGGCAACATGAAGAGACACTGTTTAAGAGACAAAGAGTTCTAGCTGTACTCTAGCCGAATTGTCCATGCAAAAAGACAAGAATGGACAAGAGCAGTCATGGATAATACTCAAGCACGATCTAGGGTAAACAATTCGATTGCACAAGTACATATGTGACATAGTGATTGAACATCACCTTAATAAATATGGAGTTTAAGTGAAGGTAAATTATCTTTCTTGGGATTATTTCCCGAGGAAGCCGGGTAGCCTGGCTCACCCGGGCCGGCTCGGGAGGAGGGTGGCGCTAAGGAGTAGGGTGCTAGTTGGACAAAGAGCTGCTTGTATTTTTTTCTGGGGGAGTTCTTTTGATCTTTTGAGGACGTAGGTCGTAATTTTCAACCAAACAGTGGTCCGTTTTGTTTTGCCTATCTTTTTGGGGGCATTCCCTGGTCAATGGCAAGTATGATATACTTTACATTTAAAGTATTCATAGGCCATAGCTCCCTAAACCTATCTGAGGGGCCCAAGTTCTGGCTCTGGTCCTTGGTAGGCAACAAGAACCGACTGATGAACCCAAATAGGATAGCACTACATATCAGTAGGATAGATTCAGGGAGCTTCTGCGGCTCCCCACAGAAAACCACCATAAAACTGAAATCTACAGAAAATTTCCTTATGTACAAAACTATCCAAGCCAACAATTTCACCATTTGAGATATCTGAATTCAAGAAATGTGTGTAGCAAGTTTAAATTTAAAATAAATTAAAAGATCCATTTAAATGATCAGCAAATGACGGAGAGGGTTCTGGATGCATAGCTTCAGCCAAGACTTCCCAGACCATCTGTCTCACATGGTCACCCGTGGCTACATCACCGATAACGGCACGGAACACTACCTCATGCCAATATGTAGGCATTTCAAGTTTGAAGAATATATATCCAAAGTTTTTCTAAAGCCATCATTATATGAGAATAATAAAAAAATCAAAACTTAAGGAATCCACAAGTGGGGGATAAACAAAGGAGTAAAAGTGGGTAACTTACCATAATTCTCCAGTTCAATGACGGCCTTTGGAGCCTCACGAGTCATGTAATGGATAGCATCCTGATCACCCAGCCAGTCAGAGCCCTTCACTGTATCATACATATGCCAAACCCAATTGTCTGGCTGCAAAGAAATGTTACACACACCTTAGCTATCATGAACATATTTAAATATTGAACCACAATAAGTAAGAACTAAATGGGGTTCAATCACTTGAGGGAAAGTGAGAAAATATCACCGACCCATTAATGAGTAGGGGGGAGGGTGATCATCTGCACCACCCTTGGGTTATTAGTAATATAAAACTTTCCCCTCACACTATGAACATAATAAACTCCAGAAAGCCCATTTGGCCTACAAGAGGCAGCTTCTATTTGTTCCAGGGAACACACCCTATATACGTTCATATAACAGCTCTCCTAGATGTTGGTAATTTGATACAGTATAACCAATAGCACTGAACATCAATTCATTAAACACCGACTAACTAGCCAAATAACACACCACCACCAAATAGTTACAGTAACACCACCTGCATGTGGTAGGTCCATGTCAAACCACAAGATTATTCAGAAGATTCTTCCAATGAGCAGTCGACACTCTTACCTCTCTATACACTAGTAACTACTAAAACATAAATGCCAGGTCCTACCAGCACTTGTTAAATGTGATGTTATAACAGCTTTTCACGGGAGATCCTTTAAGGAGGGGGAGGGGGGGCAGAATGTGCTGGAATGCATCTTGGCTTTTAACAAGATTCAATTGGAAAATAATGATTGTTAAACACATTTCATAATCAAATACAGTGGAACCTCTATTAACGAGTTTTTCCAGTAACGAGCAAGCCACTCGCAGCAAATTTGTCTCTATTGACGAGCTCGCCTCTATTAACGAGTGAAACCACATGGCGCTTCCTAGCGTCTCGCGGGTTCTCGCAAATTCTCGGACGCCTCCGACGCCAGTGTTGTTGTTGTATCTCACACGACAAGCATCCCTCTGGATTTATTTGAGCTTTTCTTTGGGTTTTTAGTGGTTTTGCGACTACAATTTGTAACAAACGATGTCTCCAAAGAAGCTGCTTGCTAAAGATAGTGTTGTCAAGAGGAAGAAAGACACAATTACTGTGGATTTAAAGAAGGAAATTATAGCAAAGCATGAGTGTGGTGTCTGTGTGATTGATCTCACAAGGAAGTATGGCAGGTCCTCATCAACAATTTACACCATTAGTAAGGGAATGAGGAGGTAAGGGAGGATGCTGCCTCTTAAACTGAGATCAGGGAAGTGTTTGGAATGTTTGAAAAGGTGAACGCATTCTTGGAAAAGCTGCCCTGATAAAGCAGTGACAACCCGGTGTGTGAAAATGTTTAATTAATTTATCACTTTGTGATAACACTTTATGAAAGTGTTATCACTTTCGCAGGTATATGTCGCTTGAACATAACACACTTTTTTTCTCTTGAATGTTCCCAAACACCGCACTCAAGCGTCATTTGAGCAAATATTTCTATAAAATCCAATTCTTATCCGATTGACTTGGGGATTGTATACAAGTTTGCCATGAAATTTCCGTTTTCTTTATTAACCACATTGCCTATTTGAGAAAACGGCATTGTATTGTATCTTCGGGGTAAGACTATTATATTGTTGACACAACGAGTGTAATCAACGTAGTTTTTTATTTGGTGCTGGTCTAACGCATCCTTGTGTGACATTTGAAATGAAATTTGGGTGAAATTCCCAAGAAGAGAGAGTCCGCCTGACTCAGAGGTGGATTCTCCTTCCACACCATAACCCCTCTCCTCCTTCCCACCTCTCCATTGTCTCCCTCAAGCCAGCAACTACTCTTCATAAGGTAAAGTAAATATTAAAACACTACAACAAAACATTTATATTTACATGTGCAGTATTATATTTACATAAAAAAAAGTCATACAAGTATGGATGTTTTTGGGAGTGGAACGGATTAAATTTATTTCCTTTATTTTAAATGGGGAAATTTGTTTCCAAAGACGAGTTTTCCAGGTAACGAGCTCGGTGCCAGAACGGATTAAACTCGTTAATAGAGGTTCTACTGTATTAGAACTCAATCTCATTTTTTAAAGCAAGACACACCTAACATTATCACGCCACTCTGAAATTACATTACACTATACAGTTCTTTTCACCCAATGATAAGCAAATGGCAAAAATATGAGGTACAGAATGATATTTTTGGACACCCTATATCAAAGAATGTATATAAATGTACCAGGGGTTACATGGACATATAGGCAAAACACCGATTATAATTTGTGCATCCTTTATGGTTTAATTTAGGATTGCAGTACATACCTCCATATTACCGAGAGCGGCATTGATGCCACCCTGAGCAGCAACGGTGTGAGATCGTGTTGGGAACAGCTTACTGATGACAGCAGTGCGGAAGCCATCCTGTACTAGACCAAAGGCAGCACGTAAACCAGCACCTCCAGCACCAACCACAACAGCATCATAAGTGTGGTCAACTACTGGGTAGTCTTGAGAAAACTGCAGAATGAAATTGTCATAATTAGTTATTCACTTTCTAAAAAAAATTCTAGGAGTACAGTACAGCATGTATAGAAGTTGAAAGTTTTCACAAGTTTCAGCAATGGTTGTCATTCTTTAGGACTTGCATTTCATTTACATCAATATTTTCCATTGTCATATGGTGTGTATTTTCAATTTTGCTAAACATACAGATTGCTGTTGGCTTGCCATCTCAAACAAAATGGTAGCTCCTACTGAAGTAAACCCAACTGGCCTTGGTACTCAATATATCAATATATGGGCTCACTACTTCTTGACATGGAAAGATGCAGAGAAATTTTCAGAACCAAATATAAAACAGTCTATCATGGAGGTCAGGTATAAGGAACAAATTCAAATCCACACAAATCCTCGAACTGAGAAAAGTTGTGAAGAGGTGCAAGCTGCCACTGGAGCAGGAACTGGCAACGAACCTGCAGCATCTCAAGAGTAAACACCTGTGCCAAAATCACTGGGCTCCACAGAGGAGCCAAAGAACATGCAGTACCCGGGACGAGGCCCTTCAATAGGAGGGAACCCCAAGGGGGGGGGGGACTCCCAAACCTTTTCTGGGAAGAAAATCCTGACCGAAGGCAGAGGCAATACTAGCAGCACCCAGGGAAAGCAACTATGGCTACATACTGCCAAAGCAAACAAGTGATCATGGGACACACAACATGCCAGTATGAAAAAACAATGGTGAAGCAGTAATGGGGGGAAAAAAAAAAAAGGAGGAGGCCCTCACACAAAACAGAGGCCAAGGCATGATAACATTTAGCTAAATGGTTGTGCCTGCAGAGTCTAGAGGCATCAGGAAGATTGAACTGGAGCACAAATGACGGGTAGATGCCTGGGGACCCTCAGGTCGCCAAGGCTGCCATCTGGTGGCGAGGATGTGGAGCCATCTAGTAGATGGACTTGGACAATGAGTATATATACTTCAACTCAGGGTTGAAAATCTTGTCCAATTGCTTGTGTTAGTGTGCTTTACTTGTCTGATTTTTCGTTTTGGTAGCGTGGTTAATCTACTAGGTCAACCATATTAACACTGTCACAGGCATGACGCAGTATTGCGTAAAAAATTTATTAGACGAATGTGCAGGAATGACGTATCAGTGCATCAAAAATGAAAAAAGTTCGGCCTGCTTTCGGCTTGGCTGTGGCACGCCGCAATTTTGGACATTATATGCATATACTCCTGTAGGGAATGTTATTGTGAACACATTCATACCAAAATGAAAGACCTAGGACGAGAATTAAGGTGACCAAAGTGAAACATGTACACACATTTTTTGCTCTTGGGTGCTCACGGGTAACGCTCTGCCAATTTCTTGGTTTGATGCAGGTGATATGCCTTGTTTGTGGACTTTATATGCATATACAGTGGTACCTCAGAATACGAGTGTCCCTGTATACGAATTTTTCGGAATACAAGCAGGATTTCCTCGGAAAATGTACCTCGGAAGGCGAGGGTTACCTTGGAATCCGAGTTTGTTGATACGCGTACAGGCCGAACTAGCGCGTGGTGGTACGGCGATCGTCGCCCCTCACCCCCCAGTTTACCAGTGACTCGAGCCCAGTGACTATCCCACGTCAATTCTTCACCCGGATTTTCAGTGTTTTGTTGGATTTTTGGTCATTTGACCATAAAAGTTATTATATATCTCACCATGGGTCCCAAGAAAGCCAGTGGTAAGGATCAAGGCAAGAAAGCACATGTGAGGATGACAATAGAGGAAAAACAAGAGATCATTCGGAAGCATGAAAATGGTACACTTGATGAACTTTGTAGGCAGTACAACAAAGCCACGTCAACAATATGCACTACACTTAGCAAGAAAAAGGACGTTATGAGTGCTAAAGTGGCAAAAGGCGTAAGAACGATCACGAAACAAAGACCACAAATACTTGAAGTGGAAAAGTTTGTATTAATTTGGATACACAACAAGGAGTTAGCGGGTGATAGTGTTTCAGAGGCCATCATTTGTGAGAAAGCCAGGGTATTGCACGAAGACCTTGTAAAGAAAACTCCTGGAATGAGTGCAGATACAATAGACTTTAAGGCAAGCAGGGGATGGTTTGAAAAATTTAGAAAAAGAAGTGGTATCCATAGTGTCATCCATATCCACCACACCTCTCCTCCTCCCACCACACCTCTCCTCCTCCCACCCCCCCTCCTCACCATCTTCCATACACCTACAGCATTCATCAGCAAGGGTAAGTAATAACTTGAACATAGTTTTGTAGGTTTATTTAGATGAATTAGGTTTAAAATTTAGTTTGAAGTGAGGTTTTTGGGGTAGTCAGGAATGGATTAATTAATTTCCCATTATTTCTTACGAGGAAATTAGCTTCGGATTACGAGTTTTCGGAATACGAGCCGTCTCCAGGAACGGATTAAACTCTTAAACCGAGGTACCACTGTATTCCTGTAGGAAATTCTATTGCGAACACATTAATACCAAAATGAAAACCCTAGGACCCTGTTACCTAGCAGTAAATAGGTACCTGGGTGTTAGTCAGCTGTCACGGGCTGCTTCCTGGGGGTGGAGGCCTGGTCAAGGACCGGGCCGCGGGGACACTAAAAAGCCCCGAAATCATCTCAAGATAACCTCAAGATAGGAGGAGAATTGACAAAAAAAAATTGAGAACCGCGCACACCCGTGAAATGCCTGGCCCACCTTGAGGTGGTCTGGCACTAGCTCGCCCAAAGCGTGAAAGTGTTAAAATCCCTGCTTCCCTGTACTTCTACTAAGGGAAAGGAGGGGGGGGGGGGGGGAGGGGCAGATTCTGGTCCTGGCCTGGTAGGTGCTTGTGATTTGTTAAAAGCCTGGCATGGTACCTATGTTTGAAGGACTTAGGGAAGGGATAGCTTACCGCTTACCTTTTATTTACCATGTGCTGGTAAATCAATGTACCTGTGGCCCCAAGAGGCCTGATACTTCTGCAGGCATTTATCAGGTTCAAAAGAACACCGAGAGGTTGGCTAGTCATGCCCACTATGTTTAAAGGGAGTGTGTTGAGGTCTTTGTTAATCTTGTCTAATCTCCGTGAAACTCTGTGAATACTTTTGGCAATGTAGAAGGAATATCCCTGAATATGCAAAGTTGTGTGGTCAATTAATATTCAACTACTGCAGCTATGGCAATTTTTGATGAATTTGCATAACACCATCTGAAATATGGCGATATGCTGTAACAAGACTACAAACACTTCCACTACCATTGTAATACGACTGCAATAAGTTGACCAGACCACACACTAGAAGTTGAAGGGACGACGATGTTTCGGTCCGTCCTGGACCATTCTCAAGTCGATTGTGATGAGGAGGTAGAGACAGGCAATAAATAGGCAAGAGAGAGCTGAGGAGGAATGTAAGGTGTAGGGGATAGTAGTAATAATGAGAACTGCAGAAGGCCTATTGGCCCATACGAGGCGGCTCCCATTATAACCACTGAAGGAAATAGTAATAGGAATACAAAGTCGCCATGACTAAGGAAAGATGTATACGTTTCATAAGTGGACACGTCCATGTTTGACGAATCCTGGTCCAGTACTGCTGTGAAAACGATCCCGGAGGACATTCATAATATACAAATGGATACTTTAAGTGAAAATGTAACAATACCACCTAATCATCCATGCACTTAAATACCATTACTTTGTTAAAAAAAACACCAAACCTTTTTTTCCTTTTTTAAACAGTAGGCTTTTTAGTCATCGAAAAAACAATTAAAAAAATATATTTGAGAAAATATAAGTTATTGTATACAATTTATAATGATGGCAGCAATAGTTTTACTATCAAAATACTATTAAAATGTTGGACAACACATTTATACATGAAGTTATTACATCAGATTTTGATTGCATCTTAAGAATCCCTGTGTCTACTTTGTGATGGTTCTGCAGACATAGATACCAAATAAAAGATTAGAAATTTTAAACCAAGACCCTACCTTATCTGAAGAGTGCTTGGCACTGGCGTATTTACTGCCGAAGTGCAGGCTCCTTGCATTGTTTGCTGCATGATTGAATACTGCTGTCTGAAAACAAGAAACACTTATCACTCTTAGTCATTAGGCAATAACTGCATCCCATTCCACCACCATCCACAGTGATGGGTATAGGGTGCATAATAGAAAAATGAATCTTAGTTTGCTACCAGAGTAATATTTAAAGTCCCAATTCTTGAAAATAAAGCTACATAATGGTTTCCTGCTAGCAAGAAGCCATTGACAAATTATGAAAAATTACTTGTGATAATGCAAATGCCATTATAGAGTGAACATAATTTTCTCTTTAAAAAAAATAACAAAATCGCCGGTAACAAATATACGACAGAAAACTGTAGTTAATTTATAACCTACAAATAAAAGATAAGTCGAGATCGTTCTTGACACACAATCAAGAATCCCGGGTTCATATCCCAGGTAGAACAAATGGTTAGGCACATTTCCTTTCACCTAGTGTCTATGTTCACTTAGCCGTGAGTCGGTAGTCAGAAGTTAGTCAGTTTCTTGTGGGGTTGCATCCTGGGTGAGGTCAGTAATTCAGCCTAGAGGGGGGGGGGGGACAACCTCGATGAAAGTCAAACGTGTATCAATACACCCTGGCGTCCTGTCCCCCCAATACATCAAATTATTATTATAACATTACTCGATTTTAACAGTTAAAATCAGGAGGGTAGTCAAAGTCTCCCCAAAGCCAAGCATACGCCACAATACTGTATTCATGACATGAACAGGATATTCATCAAACTCGCTCTCCCTGACTCCATCCCATTCTTCTACCCTCTCCATCCCTCCCACCTCTTGGTATGAACCTTCGACAAGCATATAGCTTCATGTCATCGTAGAGGCCACTTATGTTAGTGGCTCTCGGGTAAACTCAAGTATATAAAAAAAATAGGAGAGATCCTAAGATGCTGCCCTGTGGTACTCCTACTGTTAATGGTAGAGTGGGGCAGGATATGCTATTGATGGCTACATAATGGTATCCGTCACCAAGATAGGAACGGACATAGTCCAGGGCAAGGCCCCGGATACCATGGTGACGAAGTTTAAGTAAGAGGTAGTTATGGTTAACAGTATCAAAGGCCTTTCTCAGGCCAATAAAGAGGCCAATCGGGAACTCATTTTTGTCAAGTGCCGAGTACATTATATCAAGCAGACTAAAAATGGCATCGTTAGTACTCATTTTAGGGGGGAATAGAAGCCAAACTGGCAGGGATATAATATCTTTGAGTTTTACAAGGGAGGATTAGAGCTGTTTGTAAATAAATTTTTCCAAATATTTTTGAAAGTAATAGGTAGATTTAACATTATAATAATAATTTTTATTTAGGCAAAGGTACATACATAAAGAGATTTTACAAAGTTTGTTGGCTTTATAGATAGAGCTAGTACATACAATGCCTAAAGCCACTATTACGCAAAGCGTTTCGGGCAGGCCATTCGGGCATTGGTCTATAATTGTTTATGTCAGCTGTTTTGCCTCCTTTATGAACTGGCGTTACCCTTGTTTTCTTTTTTTAAGATATCAGGAAAAGTAAGACACTCTTAAAGAGATTTGTTAAATAGCAGAGCTACGGGAGGTGCAAGAGCACTCATTCATACCGAATCCTGAAGAAACAAGCGATTATCAAATGACTCAAATGTGGGTTAAAAAAAAATACAAATCTTATTCTTGTCATTAATTCGACAGTGTTCCCTGGGTGACACAGAGAGGAGACCCTCAAGAGACCCCCAGGGAGACCCCAGAGACCCCCAGAAAGACCCCAAAGACCTCAGACCCCCACAATGTTTACAATCTGAGGCCGGGGGGCCGGTCACAAGTATACATCTCATCCAACCCCCACCAAAGCTAAACAGTCCCAGAGCACAACCAAACTCCATTCCTAGCTCGACCAAACAAAAATCTCATTAGCCCTACCTAAAACCCTCCACTTGACCAACACACCAACTATTGACCCATAGCAAACAATTGAACTATATACAAAAAAGAAACCCGGATTTCTAGCAAACATATAAACATAGAGCCTTAGCAAACAAACCTGGTGCACTAGTACACAAACAACCGCTGAAGCACAACCATGCACGAACCGAAGCCTGACCATGCACAACCCAAAGCCCAAGTGACACCCCCGGAGCCCGACCAGTTATTTAACCGGAGCCCGACCAGTTATTTAACCGGAGCCCGACCAGTTATTTAACCGGAGCCCGACCAGTTGTGTAACCGAAGCTCGACCAGTTGTGTAACCAGACCCCGACCAGTTGTGCAACCGTAAGCCTAGCAAGTATACATCTCATCCAACCCCCATCAAGCTAAACAGTCCCAAAGCACAACCAAACTCCATTCCTAGCTCGACCAAACAAAAATCTCCTTAGCCCTACCTAAAACCCTCCACTTGCCCTAGACACCAACTATTGAGCCATAGCAAACAATTGAACTATATACAAAAAAAGAAACTCGAATTTCTAGCAAACATATAAACATAGAGCCCTTGCAAACAAACCTGGAGCACTAGTACACAAACAACCACTGGAGCACAACCATGTACGAACCGGAGCACAACCATGCACAACCCAAAGCCCAACAAGTCACACCCCTGGTGTTATGTAATCTGAACCCGACAAGTTGTGAAATAGGAGCCCGACCAGTTGTCTAACCGCAAGCCTAGCATGAACGAACCATACAACCTCTGGATCACAACCATGCACGAACGGAAGCCCGACCATGCACAACCCAAAGCCCAAATGACACCCCCGGAGCCCGACCAGTTATTTAACCGGAGCCCGACCAGTTATTTAACCGGAGCCCGACCAGTTGTGTAATCGGAGCCCCACCAGTTGTGTAACCGGACCCCGACCAGTTGTGTAACCGCAAGCCTAGCATGAACGAACCAAACAACCTCTGGATCACAACCATGCATGTACCAAAGCCCGACCATGCACAACCCGAAGCCCAAGTGACACCCCCGGAGCCCGACCAGTTATGTAACCGGAGCCCGACCAGTTGTGTAACCGAAGCTCGACCAGTTGTGTAACCGGACCCCGACCAGTTGTGTAACCGTAAGCCTAGCAAGTATACATCTCACTCAACCCCGCAAAGCTAAACAGTCCCAGAGCACAACCAAACTCCATTCCTAGCTCGACCAAACAAAAATCTCCTTAGCACCCTCCACTTGCCCTAAACACCAACTATTGACCCATAGCAAACAATTGAACTATATACAAAAAGAAACTCGAATTTCTAGCAAACATATAAACATAGAGCCCTAGCAAACAAACCTGGAGCACTAGTACACAAACAACCGCTGAAGCACAACCATGCACGAACCGGAGCACAACCATGCACAACCCAAAGCCCAACAAGTCACACCCCCAGTGGTGTTATGTAATCGGAACCCGACAAGTTGTGTAACCGGAGCCCGACCAGTTGTGTAACCGCAAGCCTAGCATGAGCGAACCAAACAAACAACCTCTGGATCACAACCATGCACGAACGGAAGCCCGACCATGCACAACCCAAAGCCCAAGTGACACCCCCGGAGCCCGACCAGTTATTTAACCGGAGCCCGACCAGTTGTGTAACCGAAGCCCCACCAGTTGTGTAGCTGGACCCCGACCAGTTGTGTAACAGCAAGCCTAGCATGAACGAACCAAACAACCTCTGGATCACAACCATGCATGTACCAAAGCCCGACCATGCACAACCCGAAGCCCAAGTGACACCCCCGGAGCCCGACCAGTTATGAGCCCGACCAGTTGTGTAACCGGAGCTCGACCAGTTGTGTAACCGGACCCCGACCAGTTGTGTAACCGTAAGCCTAGCAAGTATACATCTCATCCAACCCCCACAAAGCTAAACAGTCCCAGAGCACAACCAAACTCCATTCCTAGCTCGACCAAACAAAAATCTCCTTAGCCCTACCTAAAACCCTCCACTTACCCTAGACACCAACTATTGACCCATAGCAAACAATTGAACTATATACAAAAAAAGAAACCCAGATTTCTAGCAAACATATAAACATAGAGCCTTAGCAAACAAACCTGGAGCACTAGTACACAAACAACCGCTGAAGCACAACCATGCACGAACCGAAGCCTGACCATGCACAACCCACAGCCCAAGTGACACCCCCGGAGCCCGACCAGTTATTTAACCGGAGCCCGACCAGTTATTTAACCGGAGCCCGACCAGTTATTTAACCGGAGCCCGACCAGTTGTGTAACCGAAGCTCGACCAGTTGTGTAACCAGACCCCGACCAATTGTGCAACCGTAAGCCTAGCAAGTATACATCTCATCCAACCCCCACCAAGCTAAACAGTCCCAGAGCACAACCAAACTCCATTCCTAGCTCGACCAAACGAAAATCTTCTTAGTGCTACCTAAAACCCTCCACTTGCCCAAGAAACCAACTATGGAGCCATATCAAACAATTGAACTATATACAAAAAAAAAGAAACTCGAATTTCTAGCAAACATATAAACATAGCGCCCTTGCAAACAAACCTGGAGCACTAGTACACAAACAACCGCTGGAGCACAACCATGCACGGAATGTACGAACCGAACAACCCAAAGCCCAACAACCAGTTACAGCCCCCAGTTGAGGAGCCCGACCAGTTATGTAACCGGACCCCGACCCGAGTTGTGTAACCGAGCCCGACCAGTTGTGTAACCGGAGCCCGACCAGTGTAACCAGACCCTGACCAATTGTGTAACCTAGCATGAACGAACCAAACAACCTCTGGATCACAACCATGCATGAAACTGAAGCCCAACCATGCACAACCCCCGACCAGTTGTGTAACCGGACCCCGACCAGTTTAGTTTAACCGCAAGCCTATTATGAGCCCGACCAGTTGTGTAACCGGAGCCCGACCAGTTGTGTAACCGGAGCCCGACCAGTTGTGTAACCGGAGCCCGACCAGTTGTGTAACCGCACGCCTAGGTCTACTTAGACTGTAGCTGGTGCGCCCCCACATGAATTATTGCATCCAGGCATGGAGACCTCATCTTCAGAAAGACATAGCTGCTCTGGAGCCATGTCTTACCAGAGCTATGGAGCTATGTCTTACGACAAAAATCATACCAGAGCTTAGTCATCTGTTGTATCAGGAACGGTTGAGGGCCACAGGGCTAACAACACCACAAACCAGGCATGACAGGGCGGACTTCATAGAAACCTTTAAAATGCTAAACAATTTGGAGAATGTCGATCAGGACAATGTCTTCAAAAGGTCAGATGTTACACGAACAAGGAGCAACGGGTTCAAACTCAACAAGCCAGAATGCTTTTTCACCCACAGGGTTGTAAACCAGAGGAACCGCCTACCCGCCGAAGCAGTAAACGCCAAACCTCTGCTTGGTTTTAAAATTCAGCTGGAAAAGATCAGGACAAATGGGGGGACCTTTGACAAGCCGCCGGCTTACTGCCCTCATCGAGGTCACTATATAGTATTAGTGGCCCTCAGGTAAATTCAGTTCCCGGAGGGGTGTCCCCGCTCCTTCCTGTTGGGAAGTTGTTCATCTATTGCAGTATAATACTATCATGCAAGAGGAGCCACACATCTATGGTTCATCCAATAATATCAGCAGACTTTTAGATGTTACTATACTGCTCGGCTTAGACTCGGTTACAAGTATCTCTGGGAATTCTCATTATCTGCTGATGTAGACCTGACCAAATGTAAACTGTGTATCAAGATTGTAACTTGCTTAGCTTAATGAATTGTGGGATTCAGTCCCTGAGCCCATTATGTGCCTCTGTAACCCTTTCCACTCCCTGAGCCCACCACCCACAAGATGGGTATGGGGTGCATAATA